CACACACACACACACACACACACACACACACACACACACACACTATTTATATTGTCTAAAACCTCCAAATCATTGTGTTGAGAAATATATTGAATTCATTTATTTATTAGAATAAACTGGCCTGTGTGTGATAAAGTGTAGCTTACTCCCAGTATATTGTTTATATATATATTGTAAAAAAAAATTGCAAACAATTTTTAAGTAAGGGGTGGCAACAAGAACTGGAAAAAAGACTTTCTAAAATAGTGCTGAATCAAAGCATTTTAGATCAATCAATCAATTAATCAATCAATCAATCAATCAATCAATCAATCAGTTAAAATATTTACAAAAGTCTAAGAACATTACCTCAGTCTTCATCGAAAGCAAAGCATGGTGGTGGGAATAGCATAATGTGGAAAATTATCTTAACGTATCACAAAAAGTAAGTAAATTTGTGGTCGATTCTTTGTTAGAACAATGCTTCTTGGCAATAATTCTTATCTTGTTAAAAAGCTCTTCATTTCCCTTTTAAATGGTGCCACATTTGTAAGGAACATGCATTTGTGGGATGAGCAGCAGAGTTGAGCATGTGGGTTGCACACATGAAAAATCTGCCAAATTCTCTCTACCAAACAYCTTATTTTGCTGTTGTTACTGACACCTGTTTTGAGCTTCTGGTACCTTCAGGTGCTGCCAATCAGGCGGAATAAGCTTTATGAAGCATTTTTACAACAAAGAAATAATCTACCATACATAAATTTACTTACTTTTTGTGCTAAGTATATTTATCTATTTTATTTAACAGCAGGGTTTTCAAAACTAGGAAAAAAATAACATTATGCTAAATATCTCTAAAGCATTCACCTAAAAACCTTTAATTTAGTTTATAGGAAAGATGATGATGAATGATTATAATTTCATGTAGCTAATCGGCATTGCTATTTAAAATAGTTATTTTGTAATTTATTTTTCTTCTTCAATAATTAATACCATTTTGTCAATCTGAAATTACAAGCTGCAAAGTAACAAAACAAGCCTTCCTTAAAATAACTCTGAAATTATGCACAAGGTGCTGAGGCGACAGCTCACCTGATTCCGCAGTGGCTCCACCTGATGAGTTCCCAGTGTTAGACATTGTTGTGTTGATTGTTCCTGTCCCCGTGCTGTTAGCAGCAGGCGTGGTCTTGTCTGAGCCACCTGTTGTGTTCTGGTTTGTTGTTGTTGATGGTGCTGCTGTGGTGGCGTTTGTCATGGATGTAGTCCCATTTACAGATGTTGTGTTGTTGCCTGGTTGTAAAGTTGTTGCGTTGACAGAGGAGGTGTTGTTGCCTGGTTGTAAAGTTGTTGCGTTGACAGATGATGTGTTGTTGCTTGGTTGTAAAGTTGTTGCATTGACAGACGAGGTGTTGTTGTTTGGTTGTGGGGTTGTAACATTAGGACTAGTTGTAGTCGACACAACATTAGCATCACAAGCTTCCAGTAGGAAAATATTTGTTCCATTTTGACTATAATTAAAAATAAAAATAAAACACGTTGTGATCTGGAGTGAAAAAAAACTTTAAGAACTTGCGTGAGGTGTAACAATTTACATTAGAGATTTGATTCAAATGTCATAAAGGGGGGTTTGTGAAAAGATTATAAACAATTACTATCTTACCTGTTGTGGATGACTTTTTGAACAWCTCCAGTTTGGAGAAATAAAGTTTAACTCTCACCAAGTTGATGAGCTAACAACAGTCTGAATATACATGATTGTTGTTGTTTACTTATTTATTGTAAAATAAATATTTTCAGGTTTTRAACCCTACATTACCCTGAGTTTTTTACTCCACAAGTTTTCTGCCTGAAATAGTTGACTGTTGCTGTTATTATTCGTGCCCAAATAAATCCCTGAATTCAATTAATATAACTTTATGAAACGACACTAGAAAAAATGTAAAAGAGTAAAAAAAAACTTCTGTGGTGAAAGCTGTTTTAAGTAATTCGCTTTGGTCTGAGCCTCACCTGAGCTAACCYTTAGCACACCAGTCCAGTCTGAAATAAACTTTATTTCTCCAAAATGAGGAAATCCAAAGAGCTAAACACTGCTGGTTACCCAATCCCACTTCAAAACATTTGAACTTTTCCTTTGTCAACAATGTCACTGATAGAGTTTGTAAAACCTGTTTTAGAGGAGTTCATGTGAAGGAAAGTAATACAAACCATGTAATGTTGTTGTAGTTCTGTATTCTTGTGCAAAAGTCGTCAGTCTTCAGGTCACTTTCTATCCAGGTGACCTGGGAGTCCAGGAAGTTGTCGGACATTTCCAAGATTCCGCATATTGCTACATGTGACACACACACACACACACACACAAAAAAAAAAAAATCAGCATCGTTTTTATAGAAAGTCTATGTTCGCCTGTGAAACTTCAATTTAAATTTAAATTAATTTACTGACCTGCTAGTCTCACTTGTCCATTAAAATAGATTTGTTCCTCATCTTGAAACACGTTCATGAGAGCGTTCGCCACAGAACAGATCGASACATTTTGGGAAAAGCTTAAAACTGCTTTGCAGGTTTGACTTTAAAGTAAAAGCAAACAAAAAAATACAGATTCATATTAGTGGTCAAATTTTATACATGCTCATTATATAAAAACACTGCTTTACAGATAAATATAGTGATCTAACATGAGAGGCATGACTCACTTTGCTGCTCCTTCACAGGCAACACTGGCATTCTGAGGAAAGATGATAATTTTAGAATTGGAAAAAAATAGCTTTTTGTTTTAAATGTTTGTTTTTATTAAATGRTCACTAGCAGCGCAGTATGTGTTACCTAAAAATAGACTTTTAAAGATATGCTGCAGAACTGGAAAGATAAATCTGCATCGTTACCATTATGATGTAATGCTGATCTACTGACTTTGTTCGTGGGTTTTAGGCAGTTGGTTTATAAACTCTATTGGATTGAGTAAAGGTAACACATTTATTTTATATTTACTCTACCTTTACTTAAAGTAAATGTAAAGTAAAATGCATATTTTAAAAAACATTTTAAAGCACTACACTTCCCCTTTTGATGACTTCAAAGTCCTTTTTAAAGTACGCTTACTTTTTATTTAGGAATATGAACACATTTAATCAGCAGAAGAATTACAAGCTCAATTTAAAATTAATGCATTCTCTATTAGTTGTTAAAAACTTTTTACTCAAAATAATTGCATTTTTATGCTTATATACTTTTTCTCAAATAAACATTTTAGCATTATTATTATTCTTTGTAGTTTGTTTACCTTGTATGCCGATGCAATGGACAGTGGACATGGAACACTGCAAAGAAACATTAGAAATCATGCAGTTTATGTTTCATTTTGAYCAGCTGCATTTCTCTAACTTTTTCTCTTCCCATGCTTTATCAGAATCTTACCTTGTATTGTCAAAGCAAACAGCTGGATCTTTCAGGACGGAAATCTGTAGAAATAAAAACATATTACTGCCTGAAGAAATAAGAAGAAATTCTACAATTGGTGTGTAGAGAGGAGTTTTACCAGGGAGGAGAGGGATGAAGAGTTCATCACGGGGTTTTGTAAGAAAACTGAAAAAGTGTAATAGGCTCCTCCTAAAAGCAGAAACACAGTTAACTTGATAAAAGCACCCAGAACATATTTAGTTTAATTTAAATGTGAGGAACTTATTAATTGGTGATAAAAAGACAAACCTGATCTGCTGCAGTAAGCAGAGCAGTTACAGTTGTTGGTATCTGAAGCAAAAAGAAAAATAAATCTGTATGTGTTTATATATTACTTTTACTACTACTACTACTACTACTACTACTACTATTCCTTCTGCTACATTTATGAAGTTACAAGGCAACATGAACAAGTTCACCTTTTGCCCCTGCTCTTAGTTTCTAAACTCAACATCAAAGCATTGATTCTCAGAACATTTTGAATAATTAAAATGTATTTATTGCTGTTTACTGAGTTCATCACAAGAGCAAGACTTCCTACACAAAAATGTTGTTTACTGGTAAAAATCTATTTATTTGACACTTGTGAAAGAAAACTCCCTTCACTCCTTAATGTTCTGTTGGATCAAATGTTCTCTTCTCAGCTGAGACAGATGAGCATCTTTGCTTAGTGTTTTATTTGTACACTAAAAATATAAAATTCTGATCTTTAAACAAAAATACTGTCTAATTAAGATATCTATTAATACTGTATTCCTCACATAGGACATGAAACATTTGAGTTTCTGGTCCATTTCCTCTGTAATGTCATATTGCAAGACAACCCAACATAAAGTAAAATTGACAACTAAAAAAAACTACATTATTTTATTTCAAGAAGTTTAAATAAAAGTGTTAGGAGCTCACCTGCAGTGCAGTTTGTTGAATTGCTTTGTGGAATGACATACGACGGCCCAGAATCTTCACTGATGGGAAACAAACATAAAATGTTAAAGTTGACCTGCTAAGTTTCTTTGATATAAATTCAGCAGTTAATCTAATTTTTTTAAGTTTAACAGGTGGTATGGACTCTCTAACATCTCTTACCATGATGCATTCTGTGGACCAGAATAAATGCAGCTGTTTGGCTGACTGCTGCACTGCTGAATTGGACCTGTTAAGTAACACAGTTTATTAAATACCAGGGTTTTATGAGATCACTAACCATTTTTCTGTTTTTATTTCTCAAAAACCACTCACTCAGTTCATCTGCCTTATTTCCCACTACAGCGATGTTGGAAGAGTTTTTACTTGCTGCACAGAGTGTTTGGAGGATGGAACACGCAGGTACGCTCTGACTCAGCCGCAGGAGTACGGAGCACTTCGTGTTACTAAACCACAAAATTCTGTTTTAGTATATAAAAAAAAACACTGATGCCAAATATTTGACATTTGCTGTACTTACTTTGTCATGGTTTTAAGAGTGCATGAAACTTCCATTCCCTGTGAGAACACAAGTCTGGGTTATAAAAAAAATCTGGGTTTTTTATATACTGTAAAATATACTGATAAATTTTTAATTTACCTGAAATAAGGAGGGTGTGGCCGTAATACCATCTCCACTGAAAAAAATGGTTGAGACAGTGAAAAATAGTTAAACTCACATTATACATTTTTAAAATGCATTTCTGCAAATAGGTAAACTTTTTTCAAGAGTGTGGTTTTTTCAAAAATGCATAAAAATTTAGTATGCCATCATTTTGTAGCTGCTTTCTGTTGCTGCACAAGACACAGTTGGCACTACACACAGCAGACGTGATTGCTATTTGTCAAAAATTCAAATATTTATTAATATATTTTTATAACAACAGCACAAATGCAAACAATACTCAATGAAAACACTTAATTTTCCCTTTAATCAGTTATTCTTTTTTAATCATACCTGTTTCCTGTAACACTGTTGCTAATCTGCAGTGCTGCACGTCGTCGACGCACCAGAGCGCTCACAGAAAAATCAAGTGCCAAGTTGTTCTGAATTACAGGTAGTGTGATGGATAGATTTGTTGTAGATGGGTTGACATTCAAACTTGTTTCAACTGTTGTGTTGTTGACAATTGGTGTTGCTGCTGTAGTTGTGATGTTTTCATTTGTAGTTGCTGATGCAGCTTCCACTGTATTATCACCATTTAAAGTTGTCATTGTTGTAGATGGATTAGTGTTGTTGTCATTCACAGTAATTGTAGCTGTTGTAGTAGTGTTGTTGCCATTTACACTCACTGTAGTTGTAGTAGTTCTGTTGCCATTTACAGACATTGTTGTAGCTTTTGTGGTWGTGCTGTTGCTATTTAAAGTTGTTCCTCCAACTGTTGTGTTGCTGTCATTTAAATTTGCTGATGCATCTTCCACTGTATTGTTACCATTTAAATTTGTTATTATTGTTGCAGCTGTACTAGTGTTGTTGCCATTTACAGTTGTTGTTTCAGCTGTCAATGTATCACTGCCATTTAAAGTTGCTATTAATGTTGCAGTTGTAATCTTGTTGCCAATTAAATTTGTTGTTTCAMGTGTCATTGTGTTGCTGCCAGCCACAGTCATTGTTGCAGTTGTGTTTGGACTATTGGCATTTAAAATTGGCATTGTTGTTGCAACTCTTGTGTTGTTCACATTTACAATTGTTGTTGAGGCTTTAGTTTTGTTGTTGCCATTTACAGTTGTTATTGATGTTGCAGATGTCAATGAGTTGTTGCCATTTACAGTTGTTATTGTTGCCGTTGTAGCTGGGTTGTTGCCATTTACTGTTGCTGGTACAGCTGCCATTGTATTGTCACCATTTAAAGTTGATGATGTTGCAGTTGGGTTGTTGTCATTAACAGTTGTTCTTGCATCTATTGTGTTGTTGCCAGTTACAGTTACTGCTGTAGCTGCTGGTGTATTGTCCCCATTTAAAGTTGCTGTTTTTGCTCTTGTAGTTAAGTTGTTGCCATTCACAGTTGTTTTTGCAACTGTTGTGTTGTCATTTAAGGTTGTTGCTGCAGTTGTAGTTGTGCTGTTGCCATTTACAGTTGTTGGTGCAGGTTCCGTTGTACTGTCCCTATTTAAAGTTGTCATTGCTGTTACAGTAGGGTTGTTTCCTGTTACAGTTGTTCTTGCAACTGTTGCATTGTTGCCATTTAAAGTTGTTGTTGTTGCTTCAGTTGTCAATGTGTTGTTAATAATTAAAGTTGTTGCTGCTGTGGTGTTGCTACCATTCAAAATTGTTGCTGTTGCTAAAGTAGTTGTGTTGTTGTCATTTAAACTAGTTGCTGTTGTTTTGCTGACATTCAACACAGTTTCTGTTGCAGCTACACTTGGATTGTTGCCACTCACTGAAGTTATTGCAACTATAGTTGTATTCCTGTCATTAAAGGATGTTGTTAGTGCTACAGTTGTGTTTGCATTCAAAGCTAGTGTTGTAGTCACCGTGGTTGTCAAATTGACATCTGTCAATGCAGTTGTTGCAACTGTCGCTGTGTTGTCATTTTCAGTTGTAGCCACTGTTGTCTCATTGACAAAAAACACTGTTGTAGCAGCTGTAGTTGTGTTGTTGCTAATAAATGTTGCAGTTGTAGTTGTATTATTGCCATTCAAGGTTGTTGGTAATGTAGTGGTTGTGTTGACATTTAACTGCAAAGCTGTTGAAGCTGTAGTTAAATTGCCTGCATTAAATGCTGTTAGTGCAATTGTTGTTATGTTGATGCCATTTCCACCTGTTGTTTCAACTGCATTGTTGCCAATTAAAGCTGTTGTTGTGGTAGCTGTAGTATTGTTGGCATTCAACAGTAGTGTTGTTGCAGCTGTACTTATATTGCTTCCATTTATCTCTGTTGATGGTACAATTGTTGTCTTGTTGACGATTTCCACTGTTGTTATTACATTTGCAGTTGTGTTATTTCCATTTAGTACTGTTGGTATTGTTGCTGTATTAATGTTGTCATTTAAGGTTGCTGTTTTTGCAGCTGTTGTTGTYTTGCTTTGATTTAAGAGTGTAGATGGTACAAGTGTTGTGTTGTTTACATTTAATGCTATTGCGGCAGCTGTGGTTGTGTTGTTTTTGAAATTTGATGTTGATGTATTTATCCCTGTGCTGTTGAAATTTTGTTCTGTTGTTGTAACATTTGATGCTGTTGTTGCAGCTGTATTTAAGTTGACATTTGATGTTGTTGTTGTTGTTGCTGTATTTATCTCTGTGCTGTTGAAATTTTGTTCTGTTGTTGTATTTGCTGTCTTTTTGTTATTTGATGTTGTAGTTGCAGCTGTAGTTAAGTTGACGTTTGATGCTGTTGTTGTATTTGTCCGTGGGCTGTTATTTGGTTCTGTTGTTGTCCTGTTGTCATTTGATGCTGTAATATCAGCTGTACTTAAGTTGATATTTAATGCTGTTGTGGTATTTGTTCCTGTGCTGTTGACATTTGTTTCTGTTGTTGCCCTGTTGACATTTGATGCTGTAGTTGTATTTGTTCCTGTGCTATTGACATTTGGTTCTGTTGTTGTTCTATTGACATTTGATGCTGTAGTTACAGCTGTAGTTAAGTTGACATTTAATGGTGTTATTGTATTTGTCTCTGTGCTGTTGAAATTTGGGTCTGTTGCCATGTTGACATTTGATGCTGTTGTTGCAGCTGTAGTTAAGTTGACATTTGATGTTGTTGTATTTGTCTCTGTGCTGTTGAAATTTGGGTCTGTTGCCCTGTTGACATTTGATGCTGTTGTTGCAGCTGTGGTTAAGTTGACATTTGATGCTGTTGTTGAAGTTGTCCGTGTGCTGTTATTTGGTTCTGTTGTTGTCCTGTTGTCATTTGATGCTGTAGTTGCAGCTGTAGTTAAGTTGAGATTTGATGCTGTTGTTGTATTTGTCTCTGTGCTGTTTACATTTGGATCTGTTGTTGCCCTGTTGACATTTGATGTTGTTGTTGTAGCTGTGGTTAAGTTGGCATTTGATGTTGTTGTTGTATTTGTCTTTGTACTGTTGAAATTTGGTTCTGTTGTTGTATTTGTTGTTGTCTTGTTGACATTTGATGTTGTAGTTGCAGCTGTGGTTAAGTTGACATTTGATGTTGTTGTTGTTGTATTTGTCTCTGTGGTGTTGAAATTTGGTTCTGTTGTTGTATTTGTTGTTGTCTTGTTGTTATTTGATGTTGTAGTTTCAGCTGTAGTTAAGTTGACATTTGATGCTGTTGTTGTAGTTGTCCGTGTGCTGTTATTTGGTTCTGTTGTTGTCCTGTTGTCATTTGATGGTGTTGTTGCAACTGTAGTTAAGTTGACATTTGATGCTGTTGTTGTATTTTTTCCTGTGCTGTTGACATTTGGGTCTGTTGTTGTCCTGTTGTCATTTGATGCTGTAGTTGCTGCTGTAGTTAAGTTGACATTTGATGGTGTTGTTGCATTTGTTCCTGTGCCGTTGACATTTGGTTCTGTTGTTGTTCTATTGACATTTGATGCGGTAGTTGCAGCTGTAGTTAAGTTGACATTTAATGGTGTTCTTGTATTTGTCTCTGTGCTGTTGACATTTGGATCTGTTGTTGCCCTGTTGACATTTGATGCTGTTGTTGCAGCTGTAGTTAAGTTGACATTTGATGTTGTTGTTGTTGCATTTGTCCCTATGCTGTTGACATTTGGTTCTGTTGTTGTATTTGATGTTGTCTTGTTGTCATTTGATGTTGTAGTTGCAGCTGTAGTTAAGTTGACATTTGATGCTGTTGTTGTATTTGTCCGTGTGCTTTTATTTGGTTCTGTTGTTGTCCTGTTGTCATTTGATGCTGTAGTTGCAGCTGTAGTTAAGTTGACATTTGATGCTGTTGTTGTATTTGTCTGTGTGCTTTTATTTGGTTCTGTTGTTGTCCTGTTGTCATTTGATGCTGTAGTTGCAGCTGTAGTTAAGCTGACATTTGATGCTGTTGTTGTATTTGTCTCTGTGCTGTTGACATTTGGATCTGTTGTTGCCCTGTTGTCATTTGATGTTGTAGTTGCAACTGTAGTTAAGTTGACAGTTGATGCTGTTGCTGTAGTTGTCCATGTGCTGTTATTTGGTTCTGTTGTTGTCCTGTTGTCATTTGATGTTGTAGTTGCAGTTGTAGTTAAGTTGACATTTGATGGTGTTGTTGTATTTGTTACTGTGCTGTTGACATTTGGATCTGTTGATGCCCTGTTGACATTTGATGCTGTTGTTGCAGCTGTAGTTAAGTTGGCATTTGATGTTGCTGTTGTATTTGTCTCTGTGCTGTTGAAATTTGGTTCTGTTGTTGTATTTGTTGTTGTCTTGTTGTCATTTGATGTTGTAGTTGTAACTGTAGTTAAGTTGACATTTGATGCTGTTGCTGTAGTTGTCCGTGTGCTGTTATTTGGTTCTGTTGTTGTCCTGTTGTCATGTGATGCTGTAGTTGCAGCTGTAGTTAAGTTGACATTTGATGCTGTTGTTGTATTTGTCTGTGTGCTGTTGACATTTGGTTCTGTTGTGGTATTTGTTGTCCTGTTGACATTTGATGCTGTTGTTGCAGCTGTAGAAGAGTTAACAGTTGAGGCAGTTGTTGCCGTTGTAGATGAGTTAACAATTGATGCTGTTGTTGCAGTTGTAGATGAGTTGACAATTGATGCTGTTGTTAAAGCTGTAGTTGAGTTAACMTTTGATGCTGTTGTTGTATTTGTTAATGTGCCACTGGCATTTGTTGCTAATGTTGTTTTTGTTGTTGTCCTGTTGACATTTGATGCTGTTGTTAGGGTTGTAGTTGTGTTAACACTTGATGTTGTTGTTGTAGTTGTTAATGTCCTGTTGACATTTGATGTTGTTGCCATTAGAGTTGAGTTACCATTCAATGCTATTGTTGTTACATTTGTTGTTGTGCTGTTGATATTTGGTGCTGTTAGGGAAGTTGTTGTTGAGTTGACATTTGGTGCGGTTGTTATATTTGTTGCTGTGCTGCTGACATTTGTTTTTGTTGTTGTATTTGTTGTTGTGCTGTTAACATTTGATGCTGTTGTTGGAGTTGTAGTTGAGTGGATATTTGCTGTTGTATTTGTTGATGTGATGCTGGCATTTGTTGCTGTTGTATTTGTTGTTGATCTGTTGACATTTGATGTTGTTGTTGCAGCTGTAGTTAGGTTGTCATTTAATGTTGTTGTAATTGTTGCTGTCCTGTTAACATTTGATGCTGTTGTTGCCATTAGAGTTGAGTTACCATTAAATGCTGATGTTGTGCTGTTGACATTTAGTGAATTTGTTGAAGTTGTAGTTGAGTTGACATTTKGTGTTGTTGTTGTTGTTGTTGCTGTGCTGCTGACATTTGATGCTGTTGTTGCAACTATAGTTGAGTTAACATTTGATGCTGTTGTTGTATTTGTTGATGTCCTGTTGGCATTTGATGCTGTTGTTGCAGCTGTATTTGAGTTGACATTTGATGCTGTTGCTGTATTTGTTGATGTCCTGTTGACATTTGATGCTGTTGTATTTGTTGATGTCCTGTTGGCATTTGATGCTGTTGTTGCAGCTGTAGTTGAGTTAACATTTAAAGCTGTTGTTGTATTTATTGATGTCTTGTTGACATTTGATGCTGTTGTTGCCATTAGAGTTGAGTTACCATTAAATGCTGTTGTTGTGCTATTGACATTTGGTGCAGTTGTTGAAGTTGTAGTCGAGTTGACATTTAGTGCTGTTTTATTTGTTGCTGTGCTGCTGACATTTGTTTCTGTTGCTGTATTTGTTGATGTCTTGTTGACATTTGATGCTGTTGTTGCAGCTGTAGTTGAGTTAACATTTAATGCT